TACGTTGTATATTTAAATGTCATACACACACCAACCGGCAGGGTGAGAGTTTTCCAGACATTTTAACAGGTGGCTGACAGGAGAGCTTCACGAAACTGTACAGAGCACACATGACAACTCTGTCAGTATATGTCAAGAAAATGTCTGCCAGAAAGCATCGTAATCTAATTTCTCATTACCTACATGTGTGGTTATTAAAGGACTGAAACAGTAAACATAGCAGACCCTTATGATATAGTGCCAAAGTAATCTAAAGCTGCCTGTCTCTATATAAATACAATTTTAAGGTCTTGACCTTCTATGTAAAGTGGCTTGTGATAATGTATATTATGATTTGGTGCTATACAAATGAAATTGAATTGAACTGTTGAGTCACAGCTAAGAATAAAGACAACTACAGCAACTGTGATTATACTGGAAAAACTAGATCGCTAACTAACACTAGATAAAATATCTAGATGAGACATTTTCAATAACTGCATTCTGCAGATGTTTCTTGTCTTATTGTAGCATAACTTATACGAATGTTCTCTGTCTCTTCTCTGGTTCTCAGATTGAAAGTGTGAAACATTCACATAAGCTGGAGACGGACAGTGTCAAACTGGAATGTAACCGTTCAAAAGGAGAGATGGAGAGGGAGAGAGGCGTGCTGCAGGGGCAGATGGATGGTATAGAAAACACACACACACACACAAACACACACACACAGCAGTGTGTAGATATGTAGAGCCTAATCTCCTTTTAATTTTGTCCTGATGTGATTCATTGAACACATTTTCAGGTCAGGGATTCAGTGTGGTCTGAAAAAGTATAGTCAAAAATATAAAAATTTTAGGCCTCAAAGTTTTTATTAATCTTTTAAAATGTAATGTTGTATGTCTCATGTTAGGTAGTTTTAATTTCATTTTTGTCAATTTAATGCAATTTTTTCTGCAGCCAGCATAGATTATAATGTCTCCATGGCTTTTGTAGTTATATTACAGCGTGTCAATAACTGAATCATTTAGAATGAACTACAACATTGAACTGATAACAGATATAAACATCCCCATCAGAATTGATCTCAGTTCACTCAGCTTAGCTGTGGTAAAGACTATGGATACTTACGGCCTCTCGAGTTTGAGAGATAAAGTGGTGTTTCATGTTTATTCTGTACTTTAATTCTGTGACTCTGATATTACTTTTTATCTGTCACAATCAATGTACTTGTTCAATTTCATTACGGTTTTAAAAAAGTTTTGAATATAACTTTTTGAAAGGTTGTAAAGAATGCAGAGACAGATTCTAATGCTTCGCTTCATGCTCTGTCTTATATACACAGTGGAATCTTGAATTAACACTTGTATCATTTCACTGCAAAGCAGAATGCAGAATACTTGCGACACTGTCATAGTAAGTTGTGTGTTTAAGGTCTGCAGGTGGATGTGGAGGTGCTTAAAGCTACAGTGGAGCGACACAAAGACATCCTGGTGGAGAAGGAGCGGGAGATGGTTAGGAGGGTGCAAGCGGCCCGTGAGGAGGAGTTCCGCAAAATTGCGACCCTGCACGAGGAAAGGTGAGGATCATCTTTCTGTTGTTTTAGTTACATATAACAGTTTTAATCCCTGAAATGAATTTGGAATGCATGTGTTCTTTTCTCTTGAAACCTTTGGTGATGAAAATTCCATTGATTATTGGTACATCATGAAAAAAGTTGTCTCTCTGCTACACAATCATTGTCCTCTCTCTTGCTGTACGTGTCTTTTTAAACCATTTTTTTACTGTTTTGTGTTACAGATTGGAGTTGGAGAATCGTCTTGCTGCACTGGAACAGCAGAGGGCGCTGCAGGAAGCTACAGGTCACGCTCAGAAGGAGGAGTGGGAGGAACGTCTCCGAAGCGCCCAGCAAGGCGAGGAGTCGGCCCGCAGAGAAGTGCAGAACCTGAGGTCAGTGTCTACGCAGCTGCATTAGTCAGAGACTATGTACTAGAGACATTATCTGAACTCTTAAGATTTAGATTCCTCTTAATAAGATAAGCTTAGATGAAACAAACTAAGGGGTGGGAGGTGATGTGCCACATGTCTGAACCATCACTTCTCCATTTCCTTTTCAGCCTCTGCCTCAGTTTCTGTTCCCATAGAAACATTCAGAGGAACGGAAACTGGGCAACTCTAAATTAATGGTGTCAAGGACAGATCAATGTTATGTGATGACTTTGCTACAAATTTGTGCAAGAAAACAAGAGAGAAAGCAAATCAGCATTTTTATTAAAAATGTTTTTTCATGTTTTACTCAGAACCACACTTCAGCAGCAAATGTCACAGCTCGAGGAGCTGGAGAGACAGAAAAAAGAGATTGCTGATCTACAGCAGGTAAACAGTCCTGCAGTTGTGATGCCTTGAAAAAAGAAATCATACCCAGAAGATTCAGTTTCGTTTTAAATAACAGTGATTTTATTTGACCCAACAGCAAAACCAAGATCTGGGTGTTCAGCTTGGGACGCTTTCGCATTCTGAAAGTGACTTGAGGGAGACAAACCAGCATCTCAGAGAAACACTGGACAGAGTCAGGGAGGAGGTGAGGACGACCCGAGGACAGGCCGAGAGGAGCCAACACGAGGCAGAGAGGTACGTCTGCTTATAAAAAAAGTTGGCACGAGACTTGAATGAGCTCTCATTTAAACACCTTTTTTAAAATTCTGCGTTCTGCCTGTGTGACGTTTCTTTTCTAGGATGTTGGAAGATCATCAGGTGGAGTGGTTGGAGGAGAAGCACAAGCTGCAGCAGCGAGAGGCCGAGCTGCAGCACAAACACTCTCGGGTCAAAGAGAGACTGCAGAGGGCAGCGGCGGCTCAGAAGAAGGTATGATGCTTCCTACACAGACTTTCACTTTAGCAGGAAACGATGTTGTTCTAATAATTGCATTCATTTACAAATGTGTCACCCTGAACAATACCCAATCAGACCCATATATTATTACAACTGCATCAACAGGTCCAACA